ATTGTATACACCTCTCACTAATCCCGTTTAATAGATTCGTGTAGTTCTTGAGAAATTTTATTCAATCTAATGCTGAAATCGAATTTAGGAGAATCTCCTAAAATGAAGTATAGTGAATGATCAGAACAACGACAATCACTATATTTGGTTTGGTGATTAAACAGCGCTACCTTGAGTGCAGGCTAGTTTCAGTACTCTAATCATACTTTAGGATTCGTTGCCATACCAACTGATATCATTTTACATGGAGATTTTAATAATTAGTGGGAGATTTTCTGCATATATTAGAAATTTGGAATGCAGCCTTACTTTTACACTATCAAAAAGTACACCCGGCATAGTTATGCATTATTATGCGTGCATAGGGAATATAAAAAAACGAAAGAATTTCACAATATCATTATCGTAGTGCTATAGATAGGGTATACCATATGATAATAGTATATTGAAATGAATGAAGGAAAGTAAAAACATGAAATTTTATACGCCAGTGTGGATTGGAACTTAGTTAAGGCATGGATGTACTAGTACGTCCATGATTAAGGTGACTAAGAGTACTGCCTCAAATAGCTTTGAAGGCACTCAGAGATTATTCGACAATGAAAAGTTAGTACACACCCTGGGATTCGTTGAATAATAGAGCTCCCAGTTTGAATAAGCCTATTGAAGACGATTTTACTATGTGCGTTAGAAAAGACTCTAAACAAACAATTTACTGTTGTATTTACTTTCGTTCACACAAAAATAGACAATTGACATGGCATAATGAAGGGTGGTCTTTTTACTACTTATAATATATAGAAAAAAAAATAAAGAGGTAAAGTCAGATATTCACCAGTACATGTACGCACAGTGGCTTTGTGAACACACCCTATGCTGAAACTGAGCATAGCTAACTCGCAAGAGAATCATGATGGCGGTACGAACCTGCATTGCAAGCCGAAAAAGTTGTTCATGTCGCTTAATGACGTAATGACATACCACGGTGCATGGTTAGTTGCAATTGCCGGGAATGGCACGGGGAAAACGACGAAAGCAACTAGTGAGAGATACAATGTTCCAGTCGTTACTATCGTGGTTGGCATTCGCGTTTATGTTCAGTACAATGGTAGTTGTATTCTCCCATGCTTATATCATACCCATAGGCTTACAGGTCTTATCGAATGGTAACCAAGTGCAAAGGTACGTGAAGTTTATTTAGAACGTGATTCATGCGTGTAATCACTGCTATTCTTAGCTCGGTGAAAAATCTTTCCTGATCGTATCATGCAGCTCATTCGGTTAGCGACACTGCCGCTGACTTGACTTATTCAACTGCTCTTTCGTTT